CAACCTTTGTATCATCATCATTATCATCAAAAAATTGTTTTTTCGGTGTGGGAGTCGCCCCCACCTCACCATAAATCTCCACAAAAGCCCGTTTACGAGCCCCGACCCCAGGAACTTGTAAATTGGATTCGTATTCATTAATACTGGGAAGCAGTTCAACAGCAGCATCATCGAGTCCTAAGTCAAGATCAGTCTGCGATGTTGCATCAGCAGCTAGCTTCAGCTTTTGACCTCCCTTTCCCGCTGTATCCATCACCAGCCCTTCCTGAAACGCTTTCACCACCTGATTAACATGGCCCACTGTGTTATTGCGACTCTTCTTGTGTAGCAGCATTGGCTTGCAACTCTTCCTATCCGCTTCTTTGTTGTCAGTTCCACTGCAAGGAAAGGCTGCTCAGAAGTGCCAATCCATAGAGGGGTATTGTCTCTACCCATGACCTTCGTTGACCCCGATCCTGCCTCATCCACGTGAGCCGCACGACAAGTAGTTGGAAGAGCCGGTTTTTTGCTTCAATATACTTCCCGATTCACCCATACTGACTTCGCCATCCCAGTATAAGGAAAGTTTTTATCAACATCATCATAGATTTTCGTCCCCAACTTCTTGGTCGGCATGTGAGGACCGAATTTTTCCTTTCTTGCCGGGGGATCAAAAGCACAGTCTCGACGAAAATGGATGACCCGCCCATAATTGAAGCAAAAGCTTGGCAAGTGTTCATACTTGAGGCTAATCCAGAAACAACCAATCTCCTCATTCGTGGCCATGATCTGAGATCTCAGAGGCTGGGAAAAATCAATAAGGACCTTTGTTTTGAGAAGCGTTGCCTCATGTCTGGGCAGGTGAAAATTCCCGTTTCCAAGACGCGTCTGAGAGTGGTATTCTTCACTTTCCGCCCGAATTATTGGGTGCAACATTCTCCTTGCACATCCCACTATTGGACTCAAAATGAGGCTAAAGCCAGATCATCAAAGGTTTGTTTAGTGATATTAGGTGTCCATGCCCTTAAGTTCAATATCTTATCTTTGACCAACTATGGGGTTCGCTTCAGCACCCAATTTTAATGCCTCATTAGGAAGGATGAACTCGAACTGTCCATGTTTCGCCATCAACACCTTGATCCTACCATGTCCTTCCCATGGGTAGTTTAACTCGTCCTGCAACTCGCTCGTCGATATGTTGCTATCAGTTTACAGGCGACCAAGTAAGGATCTCTTTCTTCGGATGATTGAATCTCTTCAAGAGAAAATTGAACCACTTGGTCATGTGTTATGCGATTCATAGTTTCAATCTGCATCAAAATATGCATGTCAATATTATTATTACCCCATTCCCATATCACACAATTGCCCCGTTCCTGCAACAGCATTTCCAAAGCCAGCCATGGACAACATGTAGTTGTTAATAACATCAAGGGCATCTTTACCACTAATCCGCGGTTTAACGATGAAGACGATACTAGGTTTATACAAGCGAACATAATCTTTGAAGACATAAAGAAATTTGAAGCACTTATCCCCTCTGCAATTTCAAAAAAATATATTAAATATTGGAAAACAAAGGAGAAGTGAAGGATCATTGAAAAACCCCTGTTATCCCACAACCAGTAGCGAAAATTGATGCTCTGTATCGTGAGAGTTTTCTTCATTATCCATCATTGTAGTATCCTTTGAAACCGCCATGACTTGTTTCGGGAACTCGGTTCGTTGGCTTTCGGTTGCGAGATGATTAGATGAACTCCTCCATAGTCTGTTTAGTAAACGGAAAGGAGGCGCAAATCGCTTTCAAGGTGGCCTCTCTTTTGAGCAGAGCCACAATTTGATTTTGTTTCCCCGCCCTGAATTTTGACGCTGCTATTGATTCCTTTCAGAGGAGCTGCTTTTGTTGTTTTAGCTTTGTAATGTAACTAGCCTGAATATCCTTGACTATTGGGCTCAATATTTTCCTTAGCAACTGTTGGAGAAAAAGCAACCCCGAGAGCTGGAAAGTTTATCTCTCCTTTTGTTACACTAGGACCGTCCAGAGCAGGATTAGAGGGAATTAGAGAAGATAGCTCATTAGCTAGGCCAACGATAATATTGATCTATGCTTTGGTCGTCTGAGTGGGGGTCTTTAAACCCAAAACTTTCCATTCATGAGTGTTCTGTTGAAATTAAAAATCCAATCTATTAAAGCGCAAGTTTAAAAGTACTGTTCATTACGAATTTATCGGTAATCCTAGGGTCATAATCGCATGCGGTAAATACATTTCACTTTCCCGTGTGATAATGCATGTATGCACATTGGGCTGGGCAAGTTTTATTTTTTTACCAAAATGGAGCGTCCAATCTTTTGTTGCAAGGTAAGCATCACTATTAATACACAAAACATATAGAGGTCCATACATTAGACCATATGGAGCATCCAATCTTTTGTTGCAAGGTAAGCAGCACTATTAATACACAAAACATATAGAGGTCCATACATTAGACCATACATTACAGAACATTTATTTTTAGTAATTAGGTTTTACATATCATAGACTTCATTTTATAACAATAAAATCAAGTTAAATTCAATTAAAGCGCAAGTTTAAAAGTACTGTTCATTACGAATTTATCGGTAATCCTAGGGTCATAATCGCATGCGGTAAATACATTTCACTTTCCCGTGTGATAATGCATGTATGCACATTGGGCTGGGCAAGTTTTATTTTTTTTAACCAAAATGGAGTGTCCAATCTTTTGTTGCAAGGTAAGCAGCACTATTAATACACAAAACATATAGAGGTCCATACATTAGACCATACATTACAGAACATTTATTTTTAGTAATTAGGTTTTACATATCATAGACTTCATTTTATAACAATAAAATCAAGTTAAATTCAAAGGTAAGTTAAAATTTACATAGTTTTTAAGAAAATGTGATGTTTTCTATAGATTTATTTTATTATTAACCCCCATACATCACGGAATATAATCTATTAAAGCGCAAGTTTAAAAGTACTGTTCATTACGAATTTATCGGTAATCCTAGGGTCATAATCGCATGCGGTAAATACATTTCACTTTCCCGTGTAATAATGCATGTATGCACATTGGGCTGGGCAAGTTTTATTTTTTTACCAAAATGGAGCGTCCAATCTTTTGTTGCAAGGTAAGCAGCACTATTAATACACAAAACATATAGAGGTCCATACATTAGACCATATGGAGCGTCCAATCTTTTGTTGCAAGGTAAGCGGCACTATTAATACACAAAACATATAAAGGTCCATACATTAGAACATACATTACAGAACATTTATTTTTAGTAATTAGGTTTTACATATCATAGACTTCATTTTATAACAATAAAATCAAGTTAAATTCAATTAAAGCGCAAGTTTAAAAGTACTGTTCATTACGAATTTATCGGTAATCCTAGGGTCATAATCGCATGCGGTAAATACATTTCACTTTCCCGTGTGATAATGCATGTATGCACATTGGGCTGGGCAAGTTTTATTTTTTTACCAAAATGGAGCGTCCAATCTTTTGTTGCAAGGTAAGCAGCACTATTAATACCCAAAACATATAGAGGTCCATACATTAGACCATACATTACAGAACATTTATTTTTAGTAATTAGGTTTTACATATCATAGACTTCATTTTATAACAATAAAATCAAGTTAAATTCAAAGGTAAGTTAAAATTTACATAGTTTTTAAGAAAATGTGATGTTTTCTATAGATTTATTTTATTATTAACCCCCATACATCACGGAATATTTATGTAATACCATTCTATAACAATTTAATTTCTGAATTATTAACTGAATTGTTGACTGACTCATTAATTTGTATTAGCCAAAGATATTGTAAGGTCAATTATTTTTTACATAACAACTTAATCAATCAAGTTAAATTCAAATGTAAGTTAAGTTTTACATAGTAGTTTGAGTAAATGTGATTCTATTACGGAACATTACAGAACATTTACATAATAACATTGTATAACAATTACGTAAGTTACAAATATATAACGTAAGGCCTACAGGGAATACTTATTCCATATGTCTCAATTATACAAACTGTATTATATAAAATTTTCATAATAACTAAGACACTACGTAAAACTTATCGAGTGATAGTAATTTCTTATGTATCAATTAAATACCCAATACTAATTTAAACTAAAATTATTAACTGAACTATTGATCGACTCATCAATTTGTATTGCACAAAGGTTTTATAAGGTCAGTTATTTCTTACATAACAGCTCAATCAATTGTGATACATTTCATAACTTAATTCACCTATTATTAAATAAATTATTTTTATTGTTACCTGCAACATTCACAATGTCATCAATTCGCATTATACAAAGATTCCGTAAGATAAAATAATTTTACATAATAGTTTAATGTGAGACTTATCAGTAACTCAAATTTATTACCGGATCACACATTATGGAAAATTTACATAACACCGGTTTGTAAAATTTACGTAAATTACAAATACATTATGTAAAATTATGAAATGAAAGTTATTACGTATGTATCAGTTAAACAACCGATTGCACAAGTCTTCCATAACGATTAAGTAAATACGAAAAGCTTATCGAAGTATCTTCCCAACTATATTGTAAATGATTTTATCTCAACTAAAATCATTAACTGGAATAATAAATTTCTAACCGCCGCGAAGCGCGGGCCAAAAAACTAGTAAAGTTTAATTGTTAAAATGAACTAAAAATCAGAACATCCTAGAATCTAGCTACGTGTGTGATGTAATGGTGTGTTAAAAGAAAACTAGAATCAATACCCGCGGCTACGCCGCGTGAAGTAAACTTGTATCAACATGATTGAAAGACAAAAATAAAAATGGTACGCATTTGGAAGAAGCGCTGAACATTAACTGCTTTTCATATCTTGATAAAGTAGAATGGTTATTCGTGTATGCAGAATTTGGATAAGTAGAATACATTTACCCAAGCATGATTGAAAGAGAATATTAATCCTAAAGAAGAACTGAACAATAGTTGTTTCTCATATATTGGTAAAGCATAGTTGGTATTATCCAGACACATTTTACCAACTGGAGCAATATTATGTTCCAAGTACTTTTACATTATAGCCAAAATATAAGAGATACATTGCATAAAGGAGATTAGAAAGTAAAACAGGAGTTGAATTGCTCTTGCCCGAACCCAGCAGAACACAATATATGGTAACAGGCTGAAGAAAATGAGCTGGCTGGTCACAACCAAAGCCAATAGGAGCATATTGAGAACTGTAAAAGGAAAATAAACTGAAACTTCAGAACTGCCATGAAGGACAGATTGAAGAACTAAAAGAAACAGGAAATCATAATAAGATGCAACCTGATAGATGCATATTTCTATGGCGTTGGGAATAAGTCGTTAAGCAAATAGCAATTCACATACTCATTTTGCTGCAACATGCATAAGTCATAGACGAATTTGAGTCATGCTCATACACAAAAAAACAACGGGAGAGAGAAAAATATAAAAAAGGGAATAAGTTCCAATGATACACTTAGAGTCAAGGCATTTCAACACGGCAACATGAAAAGAGAAGCACACAGCCAACAAAAACACAGAAGCAGTACAACAATAAAGTATGAAAACAACAAAAGACTCGTATCTTCCATCCTCCAGTGCTCGTGTAAGTAATGACTGTGCCTACAAAGTAATACAACAATGAAGTTGATTATCTTTCCCGAAGTAACTGGAATCCCAGCTCCACATATGAAACTCGATGGTAAGCATACAAACTTACTCAGTCCACCAGGCTGTTGTCCATGTAAGCGTGAGTCGTGTCTACAGGGTGCCATCCTATAATCTGCTGTAGAGCCATTACTCCAAAGGAGAACACATCGGATTTGTCTGAGAGCTCTCCACTTGTGGGAGCCAATCATCCACATAAATACAAAGCAAATGCATTAGCAAAGCATTGCGATAATAATACTCACAGCAAAGCATACTCAGGAGCCAAGCATCCCACGACCCTGCTTGCATAAAGTACCTTGGCCTCGAGCTTTAAATCAAAGAGTATGTTGAGTGCCTTAATATAGCACGTGTCTCGTGCAAATTACAAACTGAAACTAATCAATAGACTATTTAGAGAAGCACCAATGAAACTCATATAGAAAGATCTCGATTTAAAGTACATAGACAGAATATGAGGTTTCCTAAGTTGTAGAAGTGAAAGGAGAGGGGAGAACGCAAACTCACTCGTAGAAGCGTGATCCCACGCCCCACGGGGATGAGGCCAGAGTGTCATCTATTCCTTCTACGTCACCGTATTCTTCTTTTTCATCTTCTCCAGCTGCTGCTTCTTCCACCATCAAAACAAAGAAAGGTGTAATGAGGTGGGGAAGAGCTTCCAGGGTGAGATAAGTACTCCGCAATCGCACTCTTCCTGGCGGACCCTTCATGATGGCTTTAGCCACCGATGGCGTTGTTCCCAAGCTTTCAAAAGAGATTTAGGGGAAATACAATAAGAATGAGAGGGATATTGAGAAATCAAAATAAAAATTATTTTGAGTCACGACAAAGACAGATAGAGAATGAAGTATGAACCTTCTATTACTACTACATTCGAAACTGAGCCGCCATTCGATCCTTTGTATCCGGCACAACCTCCAAACCATACCCAAAATAGTCCCGAACCACTTCTCATACCCTCTGTTGTGGGCAATAACGCCGACGATCAAAGCGAACACCAAGAACGCTTTGCTTCTCTTGTCCTTGCTTGTGAGCCTCCCCTATCCCAACCAAAGGAAAATGAACACGATTGGTCTAAACCCAGCATTAAAACATCAGATTAGGATAACAGCAAGCTCTGCAGACTGCAGCACCTCATACATACTGCAGCTTTCAATTTCTGCAGCGTGACAATCTGCTTTGGGAAAGCAAAGGAGAGAACTGTCCAACATGCAATAAACGTACTGCCACATTTTTAACCAACAAAGGCCATTAGTTTAAGAATATCAAGCTAGAACCTGAAACTGAGAACACCACACTACCTGTTAGCAGGAGAAGGAGAGGTGGAGCTACACAGACAACCCTAAACTTTAGTTTCCTCATGTCCTGCCTCCTTGGTGAACTACAAAATCTCAAGTATCCATGATCAATGGCTGGAACATTAATTATACATAGGAAGCAGAACATAAACACAGTATCAGCAAAGTCAACCTACCTGTAGGTTGCAGCCTCACCACCATTTCTAAGCAGCCTCACCATCAGTTCTAAGAAGCGTGTGACGTGGATATCCACATAAATTTTTACATGGTACCAGGTCTAAGTAAGAGATACATTTTATAAAGACGAAGATAATTATACACAAACATAGGGAGATTGGAAAGTAAAACAGGAATTAAATTGCTCTTGCCCGAACCCAGCAGAACACAATATATGTTAACATGCTGAAGAAAATGAGCTAGTTGGTCACTACCAAAGCCAGTAGGAGCATACTGGGAACTTTAAAAAAAGATTAATTGAATCTTCAGAACTGCCATTAAGAATGGATCAAGAACTAAAAGAAACAGGAAATTATAATAGGTTGTAAGTGTAACCTCCTGATAGATGCATACTTCTATGGCATTGGGATTGACAGTTTCTGGTCTTCATAATGTAGGGCAGTTGTTCAGGTCAACATCTTCTTCAGGCCCCTGTTTCGTTACACTAAAATAAGAAGAGAAAAAACCAAAATTGAAATTAAAGAGAGGGTAGAAGGGAAGAAAGGAAAAAGGTTCGACCTTCACTTACAAAATGAGGATTAAGAGTTGATGTAATGATGTTAAGTTGTAGAACCCAGGCTGCTGCTGCCGCCATCAAAAGTAAAATCTTGCTGTTGCTGGCTTTCACCAGCTTGTCGTCTCTCTTTCTGTGTATCTCTGTCTGTCCGCACTGAAGGTCGTAAAATGAACTGGTATCGTCTCCGGCATCATCTTCTGCATCATCGTCATCTCTGTCATCGTGGTCGTTTTCTCGTCGTCATCGCCAGCTCTGCCGGAGTCATCTGCAGGGAAATTTGCGTTTGGGAGACTGGGGTCGATCATGCTTGGCCATCTACACCGACGACGACGCTCCTTTTGAGGAAGACGGGAACTGGGAGGGAGATAGGAGGCGGCGCAGTGAAGTAGAGCAGCATCCGGAGCCCCGAACCGAGATAGTGGAGCGCTGCTGGAGAAACGAATCGGAGACGGGATCAAATCTCTCTGAGATTTGCGGGGGACCAGGTTCGACAACGTTGCTTCCAGATCCATCTGCAGGTCGACCTGTTGAAGGTAGATAGCGGCTGCTTCTACAGTCGTCTCATGAAACCCGCCTTTCCCCCTTTGGACGAATAGGTGGAAGAAAAGCTATTTGGCAGGGAAAGCAGCATGAGTCTTCTCTTAATCCATGGAAGTAAAGTGAGTACTGTATAAATCATGGGCGATGGCGTGTAGGAGCAGTTGTGAGAGGAAGGAGTGGAAGGAAGGAGAAGACTAAAGCGGTTGATTGTGATAGTGGATTTTGGAGGTGAGGCCGCGAAGGGATGAAGGTCACAGAAAGTATGGGCACCTGCAATTGATGTAGCAGACACGGGAAAGAGGAAGCTCTTTCAGTTGGGTTACGTCTGCATCTGTGGGCGTTCTGCCGTTATGGGCGTTCGTTGGAATTGGGGGAGATCGTGCCGGCGAGAGGAAGAGGTGGGTGGGGAAGTTCTTTGCGAAGGAGTTGTAAGGAAAACCACTAAACGACAGAAATTGATACAGTAATGGAACCTAGCTTTTATATATAGAGGAATATCAGTGTGGAATTGTGTAAGTACCAATTAGGTGAGTGTGAATAAAGAAAGAAAAAAAACCAGAGCCACAATGGTGTATGGCGGTTCAACTGCCATATTAATTAGGGTGCAGATTTTTGTAAGCTTGGAGGGCTATAAATACCCCTTGAAGTTCTTGTGTAAGTAGTAGAGAAAGAGCAAAAGAAAGAACAAAAACCAATAAAAAAAGCTCTCCTCATAAAATCCCTCTGTCGCCTTCTCACTCCCTACAAAATTTCCATTTCTTTCCCATATAGAAAAACAACCAAAAGCTTCCCATTCCCATTCCATATTTCTACACGTGCCCACCATAACCAACTCTCCACTTCTTTTGTCAAAACCAAGCCCACCAAAATAATACAAAGGAAATAATTTATTTTATTTCCAACAAAGTGGTATCAGAGCCCGAGTTATTTCCGAGTATGCTCTGTGGTTGCGGCGTAGTCTGAACTTCCACATCAGAAAAGAATTTCTCGTGCTATTGTTATCACGATTGTCCCATGGCCGAAAAATCCACTTTCCCCATTCAATTCCCCCACCTTACCAAAACCAATTATAAAAATTGGTGCATTCGTATGAAAGCCTTGCTTGGATCCCAAGATGCTTGGGATATTGTCGAAAAAGGCTACGAGATTCCCGTGGAGGATTCTCGGTTATCTCCTACTGAAAAGGAGGTGTTGAGAAAGAATCGAAAGAGTGATCAGAAAGCACTCACTCTCATTCATCAGTGTCTGGATGAATCGATGTTCGATCAAATAGCAGATGCTACCACAACAAAGGAAGCATGGGAGATTTTGCAAAAAGAAATGCAAGGCGTGGAACCAGTAAAGAAGATTCGACTTCAGACACTAACGGGAGATTTTGAAGCCATTAAAATGAAGGAAGGTGAATCTGTTTCAGATTACACTGCCCGTGTGAAGTCAGTCGTCAGCAAACTGAAGCAGTATGGGGAGAAAATTGAAGAGACCAAAGTGGTGGAGAAAATTCTACGGTCATTATTACCAAAGTTTGACTATGTGGTGGTGGCCATGGAAGAAGCTAAGGACGTGTCAACAATGACGGTTGATGAAGTCATCGGTTCATTACAAGCCAGAGAAGAAAGATTAAATAAAAGAAATGAAGAATCGTCAGAAAAAGTGTTAGCTACAAAAGCTACCAGGAGGAGAAAGAAGGCGCACGAGGAGGAGGTTACAACAGAGGTCGAGGCAGAGGAAACTATAGAGGGAGAGGAAGAGGCAGAGCCCGAGGAGCATATCAAAGTAGGGATGGAGGAAATTTCACCACGAACAATTATGAAACGTCCACCAGAGGCAGAGGTCGTGGTCGTGGACGTGGAAGAGGAAGTTGGAGATCAAATGAAGGTCGTGATAAATCCAACGTCCAATGCTATAATTGCTCGAAGTACGGGCCTTATGCATCGGAATGTTGGAGTCCGCCTAAAGAAGTGGAGGAGACAGCAAACAACGTGCAAGAAGAAGAAGTCAAAGGCACATTGATGTTGTCACATCAAGGAGATGAGAAACCGAAAGACAACATGTGGTATCTGGATAATGCAGCAAGCAACCACATGTGCGGTAAAAGAAACATGTTCGTGGATATGGATGAATCGGTGAAAGGAAATGTCGTATTTGGAGACTCCTCGAAGGTTCCTATCAAAGGCAGAGGAACTATACTCATCCGGCTCAAGAATGGCTCACAACAATCTATCAGTGATGTGTACTATGTCCCGGACATGACTAGTAACATCCTGAGTTTGGGTCAGCTGATGGAGAAGAATTATGAAGTCCATATGGTGAATCGTCAATTGGAGCTGTTAAATGAGAAGAAGCAGTTGTTGGCCAGAGTCCCAATGTCGAGAAACAGAATGTTCACCCTAAACATTCAGACTGAAATGGCGAAGTGTTTGAAAGCATGCGTGAAGGACACTACATGGCTGTGGCATCTGAGGTATGGCCATCTGAATTTTGGAGGCCTAAAGTTACTCGATCAGAAGAAGATGGTGCATGGTCTGCCAGTGATCAATCATCCAGACCAGTTGTGTGAAGGATGCTTAGTTGGGAAGCAATTCAGGGCAAGTTTCTCGAAGGAGTCCCTGTCAAGAGCTAAAGCACCACTTGAGCTTGTCCATGCAGATCTCTGTGGTCCGATCACTCCAACATCATTTGGCAAGAACAAATACTTCCTATTGTTCATTGACGACTACAGTAGAAAGACATGGGTATACTTCTTGAAGCAGAAGTCAGATACATTTGAAGATTTCAAGAAGTTCAAGATGATGGTGGAGAATGAAAGTGGCCGCTACATCAAAGCAATGAGATCAGATAGAGGTGGAGAATTTATGCTAAAGAAGTTCAAAAGGTTCTGTGAATATCAAGGAATCCGCAGGTTTCTCACAGTCCCAAGATCACCACAGCAGAATGGAGTCGTTGAGAGGAAAAACAGAACTGTCCTCAACATGGCGAGAAGCATGATGAAGAGCAAGAACCTGCCAAAGGAGCTATGGGCTGAAGCTGTTGATTGTGCAGTCTACCTGCTGAACAGGTCACCAACAAAAAGTGTTTGGAATCAAACACCCCAAGAAGCATGGAGCGGAAGGAAACCTACAATCTCTCACCTCTGAGTCTTCGGAAGTGTCGGATATGTGCACGTACCGGATCAAGAAAGAAAGAAGTTGGATGACAAAAGCAAGAAGTACATATTCCTGGGATACTCAGAACACTCAAAAGGTTACAAAATGTTTGATCCCGTGGAAGAGAAGCTGATAATCAGCAGAGACGTGGTAGTTGATGAAGAAGCAACATGGGATTGGACTGCTGAAGCAAAGAAGAATTACACTTTTTATCCATTCACTATGGATGAAAGTAATGATGAACCGGATTCAGCTACACCTGTGACAAGTCCACCCAGTCACAGAGAGCCTGCCAGCCCAGAAGGAGAATCTAGTGAAAGTCCCCGAGAAAGGCCACAGAAGTATAGGAGACTTGAAGAAATTTATGAGGAAACGACAACCATTGAAGGTGATGAATTGACACTCTACTGTCATTTAATTGATAGTGAACCAGTTGATGTCAAAGAAGCCATGAAAGATGAAAAATGGAAGAGAGCTATGGATGAAGAAATTGGAGCAATTGAGAAGAACAAGACTTGGGAGCTTGTGTCACTTCCTAAGAACCAGAAGCCAATCGGTGTGAAGTGGGTATTCAAGGCCAAGAAAAATGCTAAAGGAGAAGTCGTCAGACACAAAGCAAGATTGGTCGTGAAAGGATATAGTAAGAGACCAGGCATTGACTATAATGAAGTTTTTGCTCCCGTGGCGAGAATGGAGAGTATCAGGATGGTGATATCTCTCGCTACTCAAAATGGATGGAAGATACATCAAATGGATGTGAAGTCAGCTTTTCTCAATGGATATCTCGAGGAAGATATCTATGTGGAGCAACCACCTGGATATATCGTTGAAGGTCAAGAAGATAAGGTGCTAAAGCTAAAGAAAGCACTGTATGGTCTTAAACAAGCACCGAGAGCTTGGAATAGCAGGATTGACAAGTATTTTCAGCAGAATGGATTCAGCAAATGCCCACATGAGCATGCACTATACTGCAAGCTGCAATGGGGAGCAATATTGATGGTTTGCCTACATGTAGATGATCTTGTCTTTACAGGCAACGATCCTCAAATGTTTGAAGAGTTCAAGAAGACGATGGTTCGTGAGTTCGAGATGACAGACATCGGACTAATGTCATACTATCTTGGAATTGAAGTAACTCAAAAAGAGGAAGGAATTTTCATCTCACAGGGTGGTTTCGCCAAGGAAGTCTTGAAGAAGTTTAAGATGGAGAATTGTAATCCTGTGAGTACACCAGCTGAGTGTGGACTGAAACTATCAAAGGATGACAAAGGGGAGAAGGTCAACTCAATGGAGTTTAGAAGCCTTGTCGGAAGCCTGAGATATCTTACTTGTACCAGACCAGATATTCTCTACGCAGTTGGATTAGTCAGCAGATACATGGAGGCACCAACTATGTCACACTGGAATGCTGCAAAGAGGATATTACGCTACATCAAAGGTACAATCGATCATGGTCTACTTTATACTAAGTCAGAAAATTTCAAATTGGTTGGATACTGCGATAGTGATTGGGCAGGAGACGTCGATGATCGCAAGAGCACTACAGGATTTGTATTTTTCCTGGGAGATACAGCTTTCACATGGAGTTCAAAGAAGCAAGCTATAGTGACACTGTCTACTTGTGAAGCTGAGTATGTTGCTGCAACATCGTGTGCGTGTCATGCGATATGGCTGAGAAAGTTGCTGAAGGAGTTGAACATGACACAGGAAGAGTCAACTGAAATTTATGTGGATAACAAGTCTGCCCTAGCGTTAGCAAGGAATCCGGTGTTTCATGATCGCAGTAAGCATATTGATACAAGATATCATTTCTTGAGAGAGTGCGTGGAGCAAAAAGAAGTGATGCTGAAGTATGTGAAGACTGAAGACCAAATTGCTGATATTTTCACGAAGCCGCTAAAACAAGACGTGTTCGTCAAGATGAGGACGCTACTCGGAGTTACGACTAATTAAACTTTAAGGGGGAGTGTTGAAATTAAAAATAAAGTTTAATTGTTAAAATGAACTAAAAATCAGAACATCCTAGAAGCTAGCTACGTGTGTGATGTAATGGTGTGTTAAAAGAAAATATCAGTGTGGAATTGTGTAAGAACCAATTAGGTGAGTGTGAATAAAGAAAGAAAGAAAACCAGAGCCACCATGGTGTATGGCGGTTCAACTGCCATATTAATTAGGGTGCAGATTTTTGTAAGCTTGGAGGGCTATAAATACCCCTTGAAGTTCTCGTGTAAGTAGTAGAGAAAGAGCAAAAGAAAGAACAAAAACCAATAAAAAAAGCTCTCCTCATAAAATCCCTCTGCCGCCTTCTCACTCCCTACAAAATTTCCATTTCTTTCCCATATAGAAAAACAACCAAAAGCTTCCCATTCCCATTCCATATTTCTACACGTGCCCACCATAACCAACTCTCCACTTCTTTTGTCAAAACCAAGCCCACCAAAATAATACAAAGGAAATAATTTATTTTATTTCCAACATGTTCGAGAAGGCTCAGTTTGGCCCTGCTGTAGCTTTGCAGAAGCAGCTTTTGGCTTGAGCTTTTATAGAAGTACTTTTCAAAAAAAGCAGTTGAGTGTTTGGTTGAAAATTTCTTTAAAGTGTTTTTTAATATGAGAGGTTGTGTAAAATGACTATAAACGACTTATAATATAAACTACGAATAATAATTCTAAACAATAAAATGTAGTCAAAATGGATCTTGTTAGACTTCTTTTATATTCAATAATATGATTTTATACTTTATTTTATTTTTAAAATGATATAAATGAAATAAAATTATATTTTCTGAAATAAAATTAAAATATGGTAAGGATAATCTTTTATTTTCAAAACAACTTTTCGTAGAAGCTCCAAAACGGAGCTTCTGCTTTTATGTTATACAAAAGCGATTTTCGGTTTTTCAAAAGCCGAACTTTTAGAGGTATTTGGCCCTACTTAAACTTTTGGAGCCGAAAAACACTTCTAAAAGTCGGGTCAAACATTAGCTTTCTTTCCAAGTTGCAGCGACTTCTCCCCTTCCCGTTGACTTTCTCTTTCAGATTACCAGTGTTACCATTTTTAAATTCAGCTCTTTGTGCTCACTTTCCTTTTCCCTCATAGCTAGCCGTCCGAGGAGCCTAACCCCCCTTTGATTGGGTTGTGGATTTCATGGGAGGGAGCCATTGATTTTGTGACTTTCAATGTTGGTTGAATGGCAATTTCCCCTGACTTTAACCCACTTTCCTAACATGCTTCCGAGATCGGCGAGTGATGTGCATCCCGTGGCCGTAGCTGGCCGGAGGCTCCGCCGGTGTGTTCAGGGTACACTGCGTCTCGCCGTTCACCACCGCCAATTGCCCTTCTGGCACATTGTTTTTCTGGGTTCCGTTGAGCGACGGGTAAGAGGCTTCAAGATGGATTATTTGAACGCAAGAGAAACATATATGCGAGATTAGAGGTGGCAAATAGGATCCAAATCCATGAATCCAATCCAATCCATCCATCAAATTATCCACATAATCCAATCAATTTAAATCCAATCCATTTGATCCAAATCCAATTGGATTAGTGGATTCATGGATCAATCCATGGATCCAAATGGCAAATTACGATTTGGTACCTATATTTTTTATATTTTACATTTTGGTACCTAAAATTTATATTTTTATACGAAAAATATCATTGGAAAATTACATTTTGGTGCCTAAAATTTTTCATTATGACATTTTAGTACCTAAAATTTTCAAAATTTACATTTTGGTCCAAGCCTTGGATGTCATTTGGATTCATGGATCAATCAACCAATCCATTTGATCCAATCCATGAATCCACCAATCCATTGGATCCAATCCATTTGATCCATGGATCCACCAATCCAATCCACGAATCCGATCCAATTGCCACCTCTATGCGAGATGTTTTCGTATGACACTTGCTGCCAGAATCCGTCAAGTCGGATGCGCGTCGGTAGGGGTTTGCTCATGTCTAGTTCGATTACTAGCCTTGCGAATTTTCCCCTTTGCAAATTCTCGGTGTGATAATCCAATTTCACAGTTCTTCAAATGTGGTTTCCGAGCGCAAAGAGCATCTCCTGGTGATAGAAGTGTACCGGAAGTTCAGGGAGTTGAACCCAAGCAACGACCGATATGGGAGTTTTATCGGATGTCCAAAATTAGTGAGACCACTGATGAACAACAAGGTAGTGGTCTAAGATTTTAGATTTCCCATGCATGGACCACTAGTAAGGGCGTGGAGGTAGTCTTGATCGTTGGAGAAAGTGACCAAAAAAGCTTAATAATTGAGATGTAAAATATCCAAAGACCCAACTGGCCTTCGTTTCCATCGGAGCTGTAAACAAAGATAATTGTACAAAATCGTTCTTCCCAGTAGCCTGACACCAATGCAGGGAATGTTTTGCAAACCCCTCCTTGTACCCGTGGGTTTCGGGTACCCATGGGTAATACACGCCATGTACACCCAACATCATTATACCTGAGACTTTACATGTAAAATTTTAATTATAACGCTAAACATATCTACTATATCATTAAGTCAGCAAAGATTCAATCATTCTTAATATTGTTCAAATTATATGGTCCTAAAACATCTAGTAATCAATAAGATAGAGTATAATATTTTCCAAATAATTAGTTTCTAACTCTGACACATTTACTAAGTAATATTTAACTAACACAATTATCTTGTTAATAAGAGGGAAAAGTGAAAGAATCAAGTGAGAATTTACGTAAAGAAATTAGATTTGAATTTTGGTGGCCAATCAATTGCATTTCTACTATATATTGTCTTAAGTTACCTTCACTATCGTTGATAGGTTTCAATTTGATACATGTATTTTTTATATGTGAATAAATAATATTCTTGATGAGGCGGGTATGAGTATGAGATAGGGAGACTAAAACCATACCCGTCTCATATTCAGTGAGTGAATGCAGGGAATCCCCGCATTGGCTCTCGTTCGTGACCTTACTACTCCACCGGCGAGGGCTGATTTATAACTTAGCAGTTATTAACCTTAGCCGCCGTGTTGTGATCTTCTTGAGCAGCGGCTGCAGGTGATGTTTGTGAGGGGGATGGGGAAGAGACGGGTCCGGTGGCCGGCGTGAGAGCAGGACGGCGGGCGACGAGGAGATGGGACGGGGACAGAGTTCCAGAGAGCATTTCAAAATCTTACGTAACTATTTTTCCCGAAAGCAATAAAAAAATCCCAACTCTTGCCAATCCATGGCAAACGCTCTTAATACATACCGCTTTAATTCCCAACTTATACGGTTACGGTACCCAAGAAAGAAACGAAGACAACTATAAAGAGAAGCTAGCTAGTACAATCACGTAACAAATTAGACTAGATATATAAAGATGCATCCAAGCACTTGCATATTGCTAGCTTCCTGGTGTTGGTTTTTATGGCTGGGCCAGGGTTCCATTCTGGGGGACTTTGGTGATGAACTGCACCCAAACGACGCTGCCGTCCACCACCAAAAACTCCCTCAGAAGCCGCCCCATGTTCTCGTCCCGGTCCAGGCGCGTCCACTTGTTGGCGTTGTAAAGCTCCATCCCGTCCGCCTCGGCCCACCGCAGCTGGTGGGCGGCCAGCCGCTTGAGGTCGGCCATGGTGCTGCTCTCCCCGCACACCACCATCGCCCTCCACTCCGGAAACTCCTCCGACAGCAGGAACACCCGGACTGGGGCGTCCGCGGTCGGGCCGGGCGCCACGCTGAGCAGCAGATGGACGACGTCGTTCTGTTGCGCGACGACGTGGTCGTAGGAAGCCAGCGTGTCGCCGTCGTGCATGAGCGCGCCGCCGTGGTAGAATCGGAGGGTCAGGCGGTCGGCGGGGACCCCGTAGTCGGATTGGAGCGCCTCCTTCACGTTCCTGACGGTGAGGGCGAGAGGGAACTCGTATTCCAGCGGCAGCTGGGTGCCCATTATGTCGACCCGGGCAGACATATTGATATTGTGAGTTAAGTGAATTGATTGAAGGATTGATGGGTGGCTAAGGTATGTTTGTCTATTTATATGGCGGAGTCATGCATGCATAATGGTGTTGAATTGTGTTACGTTGTTCAACCGAATCATGGAAACATCGGGTGAGGTTCTAGTAGAGATGGCAAATTACCCACCCATGGGTAAATATACCCAAACCCAAGTAGATCCATTGATAATGGGTTGGGTATGGGTGAAGTGCATATGGATTTGGGGGTTTATAGATGGGTTTGGGTTTGGGGCTTCCATAATCTAAATGGGTATGGGTTGGATATGGATATCCATTTACTTGAGGGTGTTTTAACTACACATGCAAAAATTGGACCTATTTGCAAAACTTGAAAAGTTTAGGTACCAAAATGTAAGACCAAAAAAATTTAGGTACCAAAACGTAATTTTCCATCGATATTGAGGACTTATATGCAAAAAAAAAAAATTTAGATACTAAATATGCATGTCTATTAAGTTTGGGTACCAAACTGTAATTTGTATTTGGGCATGGGTACAAACCCAAATCCATTTGATATAAACCCAACTCAACCCAAAGTAAATGGGTATGGGTACAAATCCATCAAACTCTACCCATATCCATCTATTTGGATTTCAAACCCAACCCAATTGGGTTGGATAGTAAGAAACCCATAGGTATGGGTAAAGTTGCCATCCCTAGGTTTTAGTGGTGGGAATGAGATGAGGCTCATTACATTCTTATTTTTTTCACCAGTACCATAGCTATTCTCTGCGGGTCCGGATCCCCTCAGTAACCAACATATCAGTAACCATCAGTAACCAGCATATCAACTGTCCATTGCATTTAATTTGTAACCGTCAGATCAAGCAAAAGTAACTACACGCGGGGGGGGGGGGGCAAAATAGTAATCTTTCCATCTGACAATTTGAAAAGCAGACGTGACATTAAACCGTGCCCGCCTTCTTTCTTCTTTCTCTCACCTTTCACGCGACAGTTGCACTTCCCTCTGCTCTCTAACTCTCCATTCTTCATCCAATCGCGCACCAAAAACTTCAGAAAACACAGAATCATTCAACGATTTTCGCAAAGGTTTTCGAAGAATCATTCAACGATTCACTATTCTCGCTTCTTCGTTGAAAAACGAAGGGTTTCCAACTTCAACGAGGCTCAAAAATCGTTTTCGCACAAAATATCAAGGTAAAACCTCACTTCTTTCTTCGAAATCCATCCATAGAACAATAGTTACAGTATTTTAGTCACTCTTCATGTGAAAATTGTAGTAAAACTCGCTACATTACCGAATCGTTAGCATGCGTTGCTGAACTGGTGTAGAATCTGTTGTGTTTTGCTTCGTTACCACATGGTATGGCGTGGTAAGCTATGATTGCACGTTATAAAAAGGCAAGAAACCGTAACTCCTTCTGTGTTTTAGTTTGTTACCATATGGTAATGTGTAGTAAGCTATTGTTTCATGTTGTAAAATAGCAAAAAAACATAAGTCCTTCTGTGTTTTAGTTTGTTACCATATGGTAATGTGTGGTAAGCTATGGTTTCATGTTGTAAAATAGCAAAAAACCATAAGTTCTTCTGTGTTTTAGTTTGTTACCATATGGTAATGTGTGGTAAGCTATGGTTTCATGTTGTAAAATAGCAAAAAACCATAAGTTCTTCTGTGTTTTAGTTTGTTACCATATGGTAATGTGTGGTAAGCTATGGTTTCATGTTGTAAAATAGCAAAAAACCATACATACTTCTGTGTTTTAGTTTGTTACCATATGGTAATGTGTGGTAAGATATGGTTTCATGTTGTAAAATAGCAAAAAAACCATAAGTCCTCCTGTGTTTTAGTTAGTTACCATATGGTAATGTGTGGTAAGCTATGGTTTCATGTTGTAAAATAGCAAAAAAACATAAGTCCTTCTGTGTTTTAGTTTGTTACCATATGGTAATGTGTGGTAAGATATGGTTTCATGTTGTAAAAATGGAGGAAAACATAAGTCCTGTTGTGTTTTACTTCGTTACCATATGGTAAAATCTTATAAGACATGGTTTGATGTAATTACCATATGGTAAAATGTGATAAATATATGGTTTGATTACGTATGGTAGGAAACCATTATGGTACCATATGGTATATTATGTTAAAAAGCATACTAACAGACTATTACTAATTTCTACATTCGGGTACACTATGGTAAAACCAAGACAAAGTTTTCGCACAAGGTGCAGCCAACAAGAATATCTGCAATTGCAAGGTCAATAACAGATGAGCGGAAAGAGCAACTTGAGATATTAGGCCTATCTTAATATCAATCAGGCAGACAAAGATAAACAATCATTTTGCTCTGTTCGTAATGAACAAATACAATCCAATGAAAGAATCGTTCAAGTTACCTGACGGGACACGCATGAAGATATCACCAATCGACTTCCATAGAGTATATGGTCTGCCGATGGGGAATAGGGAAGTTGTACCTCACACGATTTCTTGGTATGACGCAGCAGATTATGCAATAGAAACCCTACTCGAAGTAGATGGAAACATCCACTCCAAGGGTAAAGCTAAGTCAGGTAGAAAAAGATCTTCCTACAACCACACACAGTAAGAGATGGATGCAATTGTTCTTTCTGCTGGTCACCGGAGGCTTGCTGTGTCCAACTTCAGCACCTATGGCTGAACTCAACATGCTTAGTACTTGAAGACTGAAGAACTGAAACATTTCACCCGCTACAACTGGTGCAAATACTTCTTTAAACACATGAATGAAGGATTGAAATCACCAAACCTCTATGTCAGTGCAGATCTTCACTTCCTTATAGTGAGTCTCCCATTCCCTTGGCCATTTCAACCTTGTTACTCATATATTTTACATATAAATGATAATCTTTGAAAAAACTAATACAACTATCTGCATAAAAAAGGTATGCTTCATGTACAAACTGGATGAAATGGCATTCTCAACCCAGCTTCGAACACCAATAGTAAGCTACTATGATGATCTCAATGTCGAAACAAACTTTGAGAACATTAAGAGCTACTACAATGGAAAAGAGTTGGCCGAGATCGAAAAGGTTGCCAACATTAATGATGATGAGGCTGATGATGCAACTGATGAGGGAGAGGAGAATGAGCCAGTCTATCAGTCACCGAAAAAACAAAGAAACAAAACTCCAGACCAGTCATCATCACTGAACTTTGATTTGAAGAATATCAGAACAGTCAACCAAGTAAGTACATATTATCTATATTACAGTTGTCCAAATATATGCCAACCGTAATTCCTTCTGTGTTTTAATTGGTTACCATATGGTAAGGTGTGGTAAGCTATGGTTTCATATTATAAAAATGGAGGAAACCATAAATCCTGTTGTGTTTTAGTTTGTTACCATATGGTAATGTGTGGTAAGCTATGATTTCATGTTATAAAAATCGAGGAAAATATAAGTCCTGTTGTGTTTTACTTCGTTACCATATGGTAATGTGTGGTAAGCTATGGTTTCATGTTATAAAAATGGAGGAAACCATAATTCTTGTTCTGTTTTACTTTGTTACCATCTGGTAAGATATGGTTTCATGTTATAAAAATGGAGAATTGTGATAATAATTACAAATACCATGTATTACCACCATGGTAACTAACCCATACACCATACAAACATTACCACCATGGTATCTTACAAAACTCCCATTATGAAGGCTGAGAATGCAATCAAACTGCTTGAAGCATCAATGAAGGCAATGATGAAAGCAATCAAAGACCAGTACAACAGCCAAATTGAGAATCTGATCAGACACAAGGAGAAACTTGAGAAAGAAAGCCGTGATGAATATGTTCAGCCCACAGAAGGAGAAAAATCTCAGTGTGAAGATGATGAAGAAGAGAATGATGAAGAAATGAATGCCAGTTTGGATAAAACAATCAATCAAATATTCAAACAGGCAAAGATAGACAAGAACAAAGAGGAGAACGAGGAGCAAACACAGAAAGAAGATGATTCACAACCATCTACAGTCGATCTTGCTGCATCTACACCAAAGGAGCAAGATGATTCTGCTCCAGCAGCTGTAAATAAGGAAAGCATCCAAGAAGGAGATCCACTGGGGAAAGTTGCAACAGAACCACCAGCTGTTCAAGAAGATCTGAATCAGGGAACACCACAACAAGAGAACACCCCGAAAGCAGTTCCAGAACAGACATCTGCAAAAGAAACAGAAGAAAAAGGAGCTACAAAAACAGCAGATCCAATGGATGTTGATAAGGAAACAACAGAAGAATGGAATACAGGGCAAGCTGCACAAAAGACTGCAGAAACTGACAGCGAGAAAACGGTGTCAGATGATGTTGTTCGAGAAGAGACTCCAAAATTGACAACCAAAGCTGCTGAGAAGCCTAAAGTGACAAGGGAAGATGACATTCCATCCTTCGATCTCAGCCCTCTCAAAGATCAAACACCAACAACACCAACAAAGTTGACTACCACCACTGCAACCAATCAACCAGGAGAGCCTCGCAAAAGAAGAATTGTGGTGAAGAATTTGAATGTATATGAAAAGAATGCAAGAACAACACCACCACCAACACAGCCACAAAGCACCCAGTCACAGACGGAGTCATATGCTATATGGTCAAATCTGTACACAAACAGCCAAGAGAAGCTCAAGGAAGTGCGTGAATGCATAGATGCTTACCTGGAGGACCTGAATACTCCAACTGTGATCAAGTTGCTCCACAATCACAAAGATCACAAGTTGAATGGTCAACACCAACACAAACAACACCTGATGATATGTTCAGCAACATCCTGGAGTACATAAGATGCAAGAACAAGAAATTTGTCAAGAGGTAAGTCATCATCTTAAAACTTCTACTGTTATATGATTTTACTGTAGTCATCTAATTTGTTACCATATGGTAAAATATGGTAAGATATGGTAAAATTAGATAAATCTATGGTTTAATCATAGAAAATGTAGTAATCCACAATTCCAGTTTTGTTTTTGGTTTAATACCATATGGTAAGATATGGTAAGC